AGTAGCCAAGGACTTGTGCCTTGTAGGGTCATGCTCTATGTGTTGACACTGAAGTAGCGCCTTGAGTGAACCGTGGAGACTTGTTCTGTTCTGCCACAGGAATTGCCAAACGAAGCTGAAATTAACAAGAAACAGCTTAACACACACAGACACACATACACTCACACTCACACGCGCGCGCACACACACAAACACACACACACAAGGATATAGAGGGGGGGGGGGAAATAGAATAGATTTGTAAAAGGGGATGGGGTTAAAGGTTTACAGCGATCAGATCAAATGGAGATAAAGTGTCCGAGGAAGGGAGAGTAACATTGTATTAGGAAAACTGCAAAATAACCAATATGAAACAATCAAAGGGTAATACGGTAAGAAAGGGTAGTTGTAGAAGTAGAAGATATATCCAAAGAATGAGATAAAAGAACAGGGGAAAGTGATGAATTATCGGGAACAGGAGGGGAGGGATCCAGAGAAGGACATTATAGCGACATATCGGAGGCATCCATGTGGGAGTGGTAAGGAAAATGGGGAAGGAAGAGGGAATAGTGATGCACATGGAGAAGATAGGGTGTTGTTTTTTTTTAAAGAAATTGGAAGGAAGAGGGGTAGGAAGCATGAGGAGGAGGAGGATGGATATAAAAACTTTGAATATCGTGCGAATAGGAATAGAGGGATTACAGGTCGTATGAGGGAGTGAAGCATTCTCCTGGGTCATATATAGGAAGTTTTGGATGTCTTCAAGAGTTTCCGGAAGGGAGTTGGGTGGGGTGGAGAAACAAAGGTTTTCTTATGTGGAGGAGAAGAGGGAATGGATATCCGAGAAGCAGAGGGAGAGGTGGGTGTCGGAGAGAATGCGGTAGAAGATGGAGTGGAATAGTTAGATTGTCTAGTGCGACAGGTAGAGTGAGAAGGAAGGGTAAGCACCGGGGAAGTGGTAGAGACTGGAGTATATGGATTTAGACTGGAAAAGGAATTTGACTTGGGGAGAGAGGGAGTTGAGGTAGGATAATTTAGGGTAGATGGAAGAGATACTGGAGGAGATGCTGAGACTGAGACGATGGTAGGGGAGCCGAGCGAAGTACAGTTTTAGAAAAGGTAGAAAGAGAAAAACCTCGTCGGCGTGCTTCTTGTCTAGCCTCACGCATTGAGAGGCCTAGTTTGAATCTGAGAACCGCTACCTTAGATTCAAGCTTGTAGGCAGGGCAGCTCCTATAAAATACAATATGGGAGCCACCACAACTGGCACACGTGCGTGACTGACCAGGGCAATTTCAACGGTCGTGACCAGGGCAGCGGGCTGTGGAGCGACAGTAAAAGGGTTCTCAAAAGGTCTGCAGAGGTGGAAGCTGTAGAAGGACATAGGCGGGAGGAAGATGAGGTGGTATGGAGAGAGGTTGTACTGCTAAGAGGAGGACAATAAGGATGAAGAGCAGTAATAAAGGGGAGATGGAATGGAGGATGTTGGGAGAGGAAGGGTGTATTTCGAAGGTTGAGTAATAACTTGGGTTGATGATTCGGAATGGATAGAGTTAACAGCAATCATCGAGGAGGGGGTATTAGGAAAGAGGGGGCAGAAAAGACTATGTAGAATTAGGAGGGGGCTGTGGTCTAAGGTTGGGGTGATCCCCTACATTGGGCCCATCTCCGTCTCCAAAGCCCCCCCCCCCTCCTCTCCTCACGGCAACAAGCAAGGAATTAGGGGGGATTATATATATATGCCATTCGTAACCTGTATTTCAAAAATAAAATGTGTAGTTAATGTTATGCCATTTTCTTTTACATAAATGTGATAGGATTAAACTGTTAAGTCTGTCGAAAAATTATAACATTCCAAAATTTCCAAAATTACTTTTTTTTCTAGGATTCATCTATAAGTTCTTCTTTGAATATAATATTCATACCCTGCTATACATGCCACAGATAAAACAAATAAACAAAGCAATTAATATTTTCCTTTTATTTATAAATTGTTTTACATAATCACTAACACTGAAAATGCAATTTCAGCATCTATTAATCTATATCATTGGGTACCAATATAAAACTAATATTCAGTTACATGGAATTCTTACTTCCTCCTGCAAAGAATCAGACAAGCCACAGAGCCATGAAGTCTAATCTTGTGCATGTATCACATTTTTGATGATGTGAATTTTACAAATGAAGAATGAAAGTGTGATGAAAAATGAAGTTTTATCTGTTTAACGGTATCTTCCTTTGCAATAACAATATACATTCCTTAAAATGTTTGATATCTATTATTTTTCTGCATAAATAGCCAACCCGAGACAACACTGCAACACTTGGGATTTTTCATGTAGTCACTCGTCCCTTTTAAATACTGAAATAGTATCTCAGTGAAGGACAAAGCAGTTAAATTAACTGATGTTCATTGTGGTAAATAAATATAATATATACACTACAGTTCTGTATTTAGATAATGAAGCTGATGTTATCTTTAAGTTGTAAGCATACTGTTCCTGCAGACATCTACTTT